GTTTCAGACCTTATTTTCCTGTTCCATGTTAAAATAAACCATTTTCAGTGGTACCGCTGAGAAAGAGTAATTTTTTTGGTCATGGAAAATTAGGTAACGGTCATGGAAAGGTCATTGAAAATAATTTGTGAAAAAGTGTATGAACCCTGTTGTGTAAACAGGAATGTTTTGGATTTAAGAGAATACCTTTCCAGTCATTATTCAAAAACCTCTGCAATATAACTGACGTTAAGCCACGTATAATATGACCACCAGTGTTATATTATACCATTATAGCCTCAAACAGACATGGTTTTTAGAGACATTAGTGGCCGCTGCCTGTATCTGTGCGTGTCTGACCAAGCAAACACTATATTTGCATGTTTTTGCTGAGGAATAGCCTATTTGTTTATTTGCCAGCGATGTAATTCGAGCATGGCACGTGAGCTTTTTAGGACACCCAGAGAGGGACCTTGATTGAACTTAAAGTAAAAAGGTGATTTAGAAACTTTCAGAAGGAACAATTTAAGAGGAATATCTGGCTAATATTGCTTAAAATGTACAGCTGTAAGACTAATACAAGAGAGGAAACAAAACATTGATCTCTCTTAGTTAGATTTGGATTCATCATCAAATCTTTTAATTGATGGGAAGATATAACTATATTAGATGATCAAGTCTGTTCTATATGATTTTTGACGTTAGATTCCTTCATATTTGCCCATCATATCTTTGGCTTCTTATACTCGTATTGATTCTCTGTGGAGGTAATTCATCAAGTTGCCATCTAGTCTATTCTCAGGCAGTTACAGGGCTCTGCACTCTGCAGCAGAAAGCTCTCCCTCTGATTGAATCATAAACAGACAAATCTCACTTGGCTGATATTTTCTATAACATTACATGATGTACTGTGTGATACATTTAGCTGCCATGCTACTTTAGAGCCCCATTTCTTTTATTAAAAAAACGTCATCCTAGCCTAAGATAACATACAGTATATATGTATACATTCATCTAATTAAATTCATTAGCATATTTGGGAATATTTAAGGGTCAGTTATCTACAGAACACTTCCAATAATCTTTAATGAGATAGAAATGAGGTGAACCAAAGTACAGACAGAGATAGGCAGTTGGTGTTAATACTTTGGCAGAAACTGTTCCCATTGAGGTCTGTGGATTACCTGAGTACCGAGATCTTTTTCTAGAAAACACACATTGCTCTTGATGTTTTCCCCAGCCAGGGGTAGTGGTACCCCAGGGGGTCTTCTGCAGTTTCCTGGGGGTACAATGGAATTTGGGAGTATCTCATACACATTTTTAATACAAATAAATAGTAAGTGTCTGTACGATTGGTAACTGAGCAGAGTAGTTGAAAACACAAATTAGTTAAATAATCCAATCGCTATAAAGAAACAGCTAGATATATGTCAATGTATAACATGTATAAAACTAACTGCTAAATGACCAAATAGATAAAAGCAATGAATAATTGAATTTTATAATTAGATAGCTAAAAAGAAACAGGTGTCTAGATGGCAGAAATTGATAGTTAAACTTAATGGCTCAATGGCTAAAATAGCTATTTTTGTAACGGCTAAACGGTTTAAATTACAAATGTTGAATAAATGGTTTACTAATAAAATAGATAAAAATAGCAGAAATCCTTTTCCAAGATCAGTCAAAAATGTAATGGTTTGGTTGGTAATATCTAAATACTGATACTGGTATACTGCTGTTACCTCATATGTAAGTAGCCATCTACATAAGCTAAATTACAAACTTCTTCACCCTCCATTACAGACTAATATAACCCTGAAGCCATCTACATACATCAATAAGTACTTATAAGGGTCTCTAAGCTGATGTAACCGTTTTGCTAAATGTCTTTTTTTGTTTGATATCAAACTTCCATTTATTTTGCGTAAGTAAAAATAGCTATACTTCAGGCTGATTAAAGCATGTAATGGTAAATAGATTAATACAAAAATCTGCTTTAATATGTATGTTATGTTTAATGAGTTCAAATTGTAATGAGTTCCAAATGTATTACGGAACATAACTTCAGCTGCCGTGTCGTTTTATAGGTGTCAGCATGTCAGGAAAAGTCAGCGCTGAGGAGATGGAGGAGATCAAGGAGGGCTTCCAGAAAGTGGGTGAGTAAAAATGTGTGTGGGTACATTGTAGACACCCAGTACATAAAGATGAATTGGTCAGTAATGTTTGAAGTGGAGTAAAGCACCTGACAAACACATGTTCATATACATTGTTGGTGCACCATCTGATGGACAGATGTTTGTCATGGGAGAAGAAAGAATGAAACCTTTGATACCCTACCATTTAAGTTATGGCTTAATGTAATAGTTTGATATTTTGGAAAGTATGTTTTGGGGTTTTCTTGCTGATAATTAGATTAGAAGATTAATACAACTCGTGTATTTGTTTATGCTAAAATTAGTAATCGACTTAGCTTAGCATAAACAGTGCACACAGCTAGCTTGGCTTTGTTCTAAGGTTAACAAAAAAAGCCTTAAAATGATAATTAGATTAACTTTTTTTATGTACAGTTTAACAAGTGATATAACATTTGCTAATCTATGATTTAAAGGGTGCTGGTAAGCTAATTAGGTTTCCTTAGACAGAATCAGTTGCAGTCTTTATGCTAAGCTAAGCTAAGTTAACTGTCTGCTGCATTTAGCCTCCTATTTAAAGGTCCCATGTCATGGCCATTTCTACTGATCATAATTCCATTGTTGAGGTATACTAAAATAGTATTTATACTGTGCAATTTTCCAAACTCACATTGGTTTCTCATACAGCATCTCTGTAAAGTATGTGTATTCACCGGTATTCACTCCCTGTCCTAAACGGCT